CTAGGGGGTTAGGTTTGAGTCCTAGGGTTAGGTTTTGGTTGTATTTATTTAGGTTAGGATTAATCTGGACCGCCCATTCGATCGTACGGCTCCAGCTGCTCCCTCGTCGGGCCGCCGGCCTATTGGGTCGACGAATGGACCGCATGGTCGATTTCAGAAGGATGCAAAATGGACTTCAACGGAGAAAGGAAACAAGCTAGATACATACAATAGACACAAGGGAGGGAATATAAACTTTCTATACTCAGCCCAAACCTGAAAGGGAGTATTTTGATTATTTTTGTAATTAAATAATTGTTAAATGAGGTTTGTATTATTAAAATTAGCAATCATGTTCTGAAAATTCCAATAAAATTCCAAAGAGCGTAACTAATCATGAAGAATTTAATAAAAATAGATTTAACCTGTTATTTTATTTCTCACTTGCTTTAACGCATACACGCAAACCCTACCCCTTTGAGCCTCTTCGAAGACCGGGCCAGCAAATAAGATTGACGAAGTCACCACAGGTGTCTCGCTGTCGACGGGTACGTCGTCTACCACTGAAATCACAAAGCTGTTAAATCTTAGAAAATTAGCTCTCATGGGGAGTCGGACTCAGGACCAAAGGAGCTACTGAGGCTCTTGTATCCATTAGACTACAAGCCCTTTTGCTACTTGTAAATTGATTTAATTATACACATACCTACTTAAAAATACCAAATATTTCATCAAATTGTTCTCAATTTTCTGGTCTGTACACTTCCCGTTACAACGCACGGGCACTTTTGCTAGTAGAGATAGAGATATGGATAGATGAAAATAAGGTCGCCATGTCATCTGAAGGATGGAACTGAAGGATGACGTGGGACATGGACCGATCTGGTCTTAGGACGATGTGGGACATGGGCCGATATGGTCTTGGGCCTGCATGCAATAAATCCTGGAACGCGTGGGAAGGAAATCACACGGAAAAAAAATCGATCCCATAAAAGAAATCGAACGACGATACGTAGGATCGCACAAGACCACATAAACCTACCAGAGGGGGGTAAATTGTAGGAAAAACCAAAAGGAAAAAGTATGAATTACCCTCCCCCCCTGAACTATCACGGTCGACCGAATTACCCCCTGAACCACAAAACCGGGCATTCTTCACCCCCAACTATGCAAACCGGACAAATCAATAGAGTGAGAGAGAGAAGAGACAGGAAGAGAGGATGAGGAGTATGACAGGTGGGTCCCACATTTTTTATAAAAAGAGTGCTGACTGGACTGCCACGCGTACGCCATGTAGACCAAAACCACCACGGATTTAGTCGATGGGAGTAATTTGTCCGGTTTGCATAGTTGGGGTGAAGAATACCCGGTTTTGTGGTTCAGGGGGTAATTCGGTCGACCACAATAGATTGGGGGGAGGGGTAATTCGTACTTTTTCCAAACCAAAAACCTAAAAATTTTTAGCGGAAATAAAAGTTACCTTCAAATTGATGGAGGTCTTGACGTAGTCCTGTGGCCGCCGGTCGAACCGCTCACAAGCCTCCAGTCGGACTGCCAAACCTTCGCCGGTCAGACCGCCCGAACACTGCCGGTCAGACCATGCGCACACCTGCAGTTAGACCGTCGGGACCCAGAAACACCGGTAGATGACAAACTCGAAGATGTAGATTGAAACTTTTTGACTTTATTGCATCAACTAGTGTTTATAAAGTGCAACAACAGCACTCCTCACCAAAATCTCGAACTAAACTCGAAACCCTAATTTTCTCTCAACTCAAGCCTCTCTAAAACCGATACCGGGAGACCTCACCCTCCCTCTCTATTTCTATATGAGGTAGGCTGTGCAAAGCCCATGGATCTAATACAACTTAGGACTCCTAACCCACGTAGGAAACCCTCTCTCTCTTTCCTTATCTCAATCAATCTTACCGAATTTAGACTCCTTTCCGAATTCGACTCCTCTTTTCATACATACATAATCCTTCTTGTATACCATATGAATTTCTTCATCACCACGTGCATTGTTCTCTAGCCTTTAGTATCCCGCAGGATCTCTTGATCCCTGGACATCAACTTCTCCCAAGTTTACTCCGATCATTCACCGGCAACACTCTCTGATCCCTCAAGCAACACCTGCACATGCAACAACCAAGAAACCATATTCCGAGCACAAGTTCGTCCCAACTTGACTTACATTAGTATAACAATAGTATCCGTACGCATAGAAACCATCTAGAAGCCAAAACCCCAAAGGAAACATCCAAATCTAACAAGACAACCCGAAAACAATAACAATCAGGATCATGCCGGTCAGACCATCAGGTAAGCTGGTTTGACCGCCGCAACACCTGTGCTCTGACTGGCGGCACATGACCGATCTGACCGCCAGGGTCAACCGAAAACACCCACTTCACAAATTCAACCATCTATTAAATCTCCAAAATAACAATAGCAAACCACCAATATTTTCATCACAAAATCTAAATCAACTCCTTGATTTTACACGATATACACTTACGCGGGTTTAAAAAAAGGACGAAAAATAATTGTGCATGGATAGAGTCGAACAACGTACGAAAAACTTAGCGAGCCCTCCAAGGGCATAACCATTATCAGATCGTTAGATCAATATACATCCGGCGTATGCAATGTTCAAATAGGAGTAGGTACCTCTCATCGAGAGGGCTTAAACCTATCTAAATCCTCATCTCTGGATCTTTTTAAGTCTCGTTCGCTACCTCTATCGACGTTTGATGTCGCGATTTCGGTATTTGCATAGTATGGGGATCGTTGGTACTAGGATATACGCGAGACTAAGGTAAAAGAGATGGAGACAGGGATTTTTATACAGGTTCGGGCCCCTGAATTGTCAGGTAATAACCCTACATCCTGTTGGCCAAAGCCGGTCGTTGTTCTTATTCATCATAATCACACCAGTACAATATTTGGAGTAGCCTATCTAAGTGTTGTCGACATGGCGGTCTGAAGGTCTGACTCGTAGTCGACAACAGGGTAGCCTTCCTCCTCGAATCCGCATCCGGCGAGATCAGAGACAACACTGTATCTCTCCTAACAGTATCCGTAGGCACCGTAGGAGATTTGCCATGCCTATCTCTGAAGTCGATATCTGGCGTCTTGTCTTGGCGTATGTTGGCTTGTATGTTGTGGCTTCTGTTGTTCCATCTCCCCCTCCTCCTAGGGGGTCTTGTATTTATACCCATAGGTGTCCCCTTGTCCAAGTAGAAGTAGGGAAACCAATATGGATACAATCCGAGTAGTCCTTGTCATTTCCATGTAGAACTCTATTCATCCTTCCTTATACGGAACTCCTCTTATATCTGAAGATTATTTCCATATAAGACATGGTATGTGGTGGGTCCTGCCGAGATTTAGTCAACTACTATTAGGTATGTGGTATCCATAACCCTGACAATCTCTTTCATTATGACCGATTTCCAGAATCGACAAGATTGTCCCTTTATATGGAAAGCAACGAATATAAAGACAAATGATATAAAACTTTTTAATGTTACTGGCCAGTAGATCCACGCGTTTGTGCGACAATGACCTCCCTCGCTACTAAATCATCTCATTCGCCGAAAAACCTAACTCAGCCTCGCCAAAGAACGATGACAACCAAGAAACGGAATCATCGTCTTCCTCATCCTGCAATTGAGAAAAACAAGAACCTAACGAAGTTCGAGCAACGTGTGCAGCATGGATGTGAGTCTTCAGTCGGGAAGCAGAGGCTGCCACCACCTCCACCAATCATGACATCCTTTCTCACATGCTTGGGCATGACAAGCTTCTCGTGATCGATCATCATCCCACTCTAGCAAAGGAGTACGTTGTTGGTAGTACAGGCGAGCCCTACGCCCCCCACGCCTTAGCCGGTGCCAGTGTTAGCCAGCGATGCACGCCTGATCCCTTGTAACAGCCTTCCCACCAGAACCGCGTAGCCAGCCCATCCGACGGGCGGGCCCATTTACACATACCACATTACCACTCCACATAGTGTGAAAGCTTTCATGTGTAAATAAAGAAGAGTGGCTAGCTGTGATGTCCTACGATCCTTTTGTTCCAACCAAATTATATCTCCTGTGCATAGAACTTCTCTTTTATCCAACACAGGTTCGTAACTGCATCACTGTCGGTTTTCGAACCAATGGGATGGAAATGGCTGTAACGACACTAATTTTGCTCAAATTAATTTGGTTTAGAGTAGCCGAGAAGTGAAGAACTTCTGCAGTTCTGCTAGATCAGGCTCTAATTTTGTCTTCATCACGTCGGATTGGAGGCTATAGCTACAACATGGTTTTAGTGGCACAAAAATCTAAATTTTGTGAGCTTACCCTATACTCGAAACAAATTGTCCCGGTCAGTAAGTTTGTGGATTTGTTGAATAGAGAGCATCAGATTTGATAAAGAGTGCTATGCCGGTTCGAGTGACTGGATGGATTCAGCTCAGACACAATCACCTGTAGATAGAATAAGAAACAACAGAGTATGCATCAGCATTCAACAATGAAATGTGACTAGTAAACTTTGCAATGATCTGTTAGTAATTGTTGTCCTTCCTTCGTCTCTACGGCTAGGCCCTCTAGGAACAACCCTAGGCAGTGTTTAATTTTTCGGTTTGGCCGATTCTGTTGGAGGTTTCCGATATACCGAAATTTCTGAAATTTCAAAAATTTTGAACAATTTTTTGTCAAGTTTGAATGAAACATTACCAAATTCACTAAAAAATAAAAAATAAAAATTTCGGCCAAAATAATAACGTAGGGGGGGTCCGAAATGACCGAAATTTCTAAAATTTCGGAAATGTCATTCCGGAATTTCTATCCCTGAGCCTAGGCACTCCAGTTTCTAGATTCGGGTGATCCGGTTTTTGCTAGGAGTGCAGCGAGTTGATCTAATTGTAATCTGCACGTTCCAGTGCTATGGTGTTTGGTCAATCTCTACACCAACAACTAGTAGTGGTGATATAGGGCTAACACAAGTTCATTTCATCACTCAAATCGTACATTACACAAACCAGCCAAACTCAGTTGTCCAGTGTGGTTGTATTATTTTTCCATATGCAATAAACTACAAGGAAGTCTCCTTGATTTACATAGGCATGATACATGCCTTACAGTAGTCTAGGGTGCATATTGGATACACCCATAATGCTCATGTCTTTATATTCCCATAATATGATCCAACTCCATCTGTCCTAGACATTTATTTGTTTAAGTATTATTAGCTAGTATCATAATATAGGTAAAGAAGGCCACATTTATTCTAGGACTGGGCAGGCTAGAAACATTCTAAGGACAGTGTTCTGTTTTCCCAATATACTGACAGTACCAATCTGGGGATCGATGACGTGGTGACATAGTGCCATCTGTCTGTCCATCAGTAGTACTGACCATGAGCTTTCTTTCATTAGAATCTGCACCTGAATTCTCTCCTTTGTTCATAACTCCACTGTTTGAGTGAGTATTAGCACCATAAGCTGCATGATTATGACCATCAGTTCTACCAAGGAAAAGATCTTCTGAATTTCCTTGTGTCACATCAGCAATTACAATTCCTACGAAGAAGAATGCCATGACCGCTAATGCAAAAAGATTTGCCTTCCTGGCGCTCATGATTTTGCTACAAATGTCAAAGGAAACATGATTTAAGGTCTTTACATGATATGTTATTAAGTGGTACAAAGGGAACATGAAAACAAGGAAGGGTATGTAGCAGAATCTCTAATACATAGAAACTCACCTTAGCAGATGCTCTGAAGGAGGTATGGTCTGAATGTTTAACATCACAATGGCTATATTTATAGCTTCAAAGCATGAATGAATAATCCTAATTTACATTACATAAATACATTCCACTCACTTGTGATGACTATGATGGGGTGTCCTAGGTCACGTCTTTGCTGTGAAGAGTTTATAATGCGTTATGTCATCAAAGTGTTGGCCGGATGGCAATAGAATGTTATCATGCCATCTTCAAAAAATTTAGCGCAAGATCAGTTTTTGCCGTTGGTGAGATTGTGAGAAAGCCCTTTTTTTTTTGCATTCACAGCTTTGGCAACTAAGGGGTATTTCAAGGGCCCTAGGGCGAGCTTGATGGTGTAGGCCCTTAAGATGTGTTTTCTATTTATATATTTTTAAACCATATATCTTCTGATAAAATAAACATTGAACATCTTCTATATATAACCAAAGAACATCAAAATGGAGCTAATATGAATACCTTGAATAAAGGTCAAACTCTAACTGTCTAGCGACTCCATCAATAATACCTCACAAATAAAGAGATTACAAATATCCATGGCTTCTTACGAAAAAATACACTCCTTTAAACATTTTTGATGCAAAATCTTTAAAAATGTAATGAGATTAATATTATCCATCACATTCTTCTCAACTTAGCACACAGCCAAGCCTTGTCGTAGGGCCTAAACATAGTACGTTCTCGTGGTAATTTGGCCTTTTACCGAGCAGATGAGATAGTTAAGAGACATACTCATTAGTTACTTCTTACTTGAATACAAACTCACTCAAGAATAGTACCTGAAAACTGAAGGTTGTGAGATCATGTTTCCACGGAGGCAGCAATGACGTGATCAGTTGGACATGGTCGCTCCGCCACCGCAAACAATCGCCACGCATTTGCTCGCAGTATATACGTATGTAGTTTCTAAAGGTAAATGCACGTATACGGCATACCAGCTCGTACTTACTTACCTGATCCTGGGCCCCTACTTACATTGGGCCCTAGGCCGTTGCACTCCTCGCCGTAGCTCTAAGCCGGGCCTGAGTATTACATGCAAAAACCTAAGGGGTATTTTTTTTACTAAATCTGCTGCTATACTCATCATTTTAAGGGGAGCTGGGGCTTGCCCAATCACCCCAGACGACATATATATCTGTATTTTTTTTTTCATTTTAGCAACAAGATTGAATGGTTGTCTAACCAATAACTGCGGTCAGACATAATTGTCTTTTTATTTTGAAGCATCAAGAGCTTTATTAAAAATAGGAGGGTTTCAGAAACATAGAACATCAGCAATAAAGGCCTTTGAAGTGGTTTTTCAGATTTTCCGTTTGACAGTAATCAAAAGTCAATGTTCCATTCCCGTCCCTTGCTATCCTATTCAGATTAATACTTAGAAATTAGGAAAGTTTAAAATACAAAGGAACTATTATTCTTATTCTTCTGTTTACGCACTATTCATTGGATATCATATATAGTAAGCATCAAGAGACTGTGTTGGAGGGAACCAAAAGACCATGTTTTATTCCGGTTGTCCCTCAGTGTCCCACTGAGATAACTACTTCAAATTTGAAAAATAAAGTCCAAGGGAACATTATTCTTATTCTTCTATTTACACAATGTTTGCACAACATATATTATAACCGTGGATAAATAATGTCAGAGGAAATTAAAAGATAATGTTCATTCCCATTTCTCGTCCTATGAAGATTTAACTACTTCGAAATTGGAGAAAGTCAGAATGAAAAGAAACTATTATTCTTAATCTTTGTTTACACCCTATATATTCTTTGGACAACTTAATATAACATGCATAAAGACGCTTGTTAGAAGGGAATCAAATCTTGTGTATTTATAGATCACCTAGCCTTACTGTGTGCACGGAGAAGGACGAGAGGGGGGAAGGGGTGTGGTGGGGTGGGGGGGGGGGCTTATTATATATGATTTCAATTTAGTGACACAGGGTCAATTCTTTGTTTCCACGGTGAGTTAGTTTAAAAGGAAATAATTATTGTGATATACAAATATTTTGCATGTTGCCGATGGAAAATGGAAAATTATGCTTTTAATTCTATTGAAAAATTATTTGTCATAATGGAGCTCGGAAATAAATTACTACCAGTTTCTCCAAAATAAATAAAATATATATATGAGAATGAACTATTAAGTTTATCATGTTTTTGTTGCACTGTTAAACTGAACCTTTCTATTTATATTGCTCATCATGAAGTTATAACCAACAAGTTGGCTCTACTATTAACAAATCATCCACGGATAAGAGGTATGATTTCTCAATTATGCATGAGAATTGACTGAATTTTTTATTATGTTATGCTAAAAGGTATTATATATTATAGTTTCAATGTATCGTGTGCGTACTAGGAAATTATGACACTTTGCGGAACAAAACTAGCTAGAGACAAACAGCGGCTAGCTTTTATTCCTTTCCCTCAGTTTTGTGCAAGTGTAGAACACAATCAGTAATCATACTTGAAATGTTTAATCATAATGACCACCATTTCCATTCATAATAAAAAAAATCCAGATAAGTTCTGTAACATCCTCATTATCTAATGCTAATTATCACAAAAATCACCATTCCATTGGAATGGTCCAACATTTGTTGTGAATTGAACAAAAAAACACCAAGCTTAAAACTTGGGGGCTACTCACCTTATAAGCTAGTTGTTGCAGTGAGAAAGGTTCTTATTAATTATATATCATACAACTGGTATCAAAGCCATGCGATGAAATCCATTTTAGTGATACCTACCATGCATGATGATCAGGGAGCTGGCAACATATATGATGAATAACCTATGATAGCTCTCTACAAACCTTCCTTTTTTGCAGTATACTGAGTCCTCAAGAAAAACAAAATGAACAATGAGTTAAGTCATGAAATTAGAAAACAAGAAGAACAATATCAGTTTCAACTTGCACGATGCCTTATATAGAAGCATCTTGGTTCCCCTCTTCCCCAATTTGAACCGTAGGATATAAAATTGAAACGGCACCATACATGTTTTGCTCAGTAGTTAGGAAGAAGGTAGTAGTGTTTGAAAAAATGATGAAGAGAAATAATATTGTTAGAATTAATAAGGGATACCTCACAAGTAAAGCATATCTATACCCATGCAAAGTAGCTAAAACATGATTGTGTTGCCGTTCATAATAGACAACCATTGCATGTAGTGGATCAAGATCGTGCGCATTACTAAGCGGACAAGAACCCGGAGCACATGAGGAATAATTCTTGACGTGTCATGCACATACATAAAGTGAACGATAATAATTTTGTCACCAATAACGCGGAAAATGATTGAATGGCACATTTACCGAACACACTCTTTTAGAAATATCTTTGTCAAACGATGTTACTCTTTGTCAAATGATATTGCCCTAGCATGAGTAGATAAGAACCACGAGGGTACAATGAATTATTCTTGACATGTCGTATACATGATAATGTCAATGATAGTAATTTATGACCAATAATATGGAAATTCATAGAATGGCACATTTACCAAACATAATCTTTGAGAAGTACTCCCTCCGTCCCAAAAAGAGGTAAACCATGGGTTTCCGTGTTCAACTTTGACTGTCCGTCTTATATGAAATTTTTTTATAATTCGTATTTTCATTGTTGTTAGATGATAAAACATGATTAATATTTTATGCGTGACTTGTCTTTTTAATTTTTTTCATAATTTTTTCAAATAAGACAGACGGTCAAACATTGGACACGGAAACCAGGGTTTGTCTTTTTTTGGGACGGAGAGAGTATGCTCGTGGATTTCATTTGCATGGCAGAAGTTAACTCTCAAAAATTGCATGCATTAACCAATAATGTCAGTGTAGTATGGTGCATCAAAATAGAACATGTCTTTCAAAATCTATATATGAGTAGCTAGTTTGCATTTGAGAAACAGAATTGTTTAGTGAGCGATCCATCCTTGTATATATGTTCAAAAGATATGGCCAACTGAAGGAACAGAAAGGGCATGAAATCTCAAATATCCGTTAGTCCTGCAGTCCAAATAATATCAAAGCATATGGCCATACGTACGTCACTGCATGTAACTTAGAAGTAATAACACATACGGTCGTGTTTATTCTATTGGACATATTAAACCAGCTCTGAATCATATGCTTCCAAGAACAACGTGTGTTTTCCAGACTATTTTGCAACACATATATCTTTAAAGAGACCCCAATGATTTCTCATTGAACTGATCTCGGAACATGTTGGTAGCATACAACTGAAACCAGACAAGAGTAGGCTAGATAGCAGTGATTGTCTTGCCAGGAGGACATCATATGACGTTATACACAGCTAAAGTGAGAGTTAAAGCAATCAGAGTGTATGGCAGAAAAAAAGCTTGAATGCTAGAAAAAATGGATGCTTTGCTCGTCAGAACGACAAGAGAATACCCAAATGTTCAGCACAGAGCTCGATATGGAGCAAAATTGCGAAACAGTGACATGCAGATGACAGCCTAGCTAGTATGGGGTTTCACTGACAAAAGTGGAAGACGGCCTCACAATCTTTGTTTGTAGTGATATATTATTCTGCTCGATATAAACCTTCTTTCAAAACGGTGACAGGTCACAATTCTATTATTCCGTGAGACTTAACTCAAGATGGTGGCAGCTCTTGAGTTAATCCTTCATTCGTGCATCGGATGTCTATAGAATGTAGGAATCGTCTGCTCTCCTCACTATCCACCATGATAGTTTAAACTTTTTCATGCTTATTAGGTGTGGGTATTTATGGTGCAATCATGCTCATTCTTGTTATATAGGTTGTGTTTAGTTCCTGAAAAAAGTTGAAAGTTTGAAGAAAGTTATCCTATATCATCAAAAATGATGCTAATAAACATTATAAACACTTAAAATTACAATGCACATTAATAAACGAGAACAAAACAAAATTCTAATATAATTTTCAGACTAAATAGATGCAACTGGCATTTTGTTGGCTGGGTTGGCTGGTGATGGGCCCTGTAATGGCATGGGCCCTAGGCAGTCGCACAACTGGCCTAGGCCCCTAAGACAGCCCTGAACAAACAACTTTGTTCAAGTCAGTCCTTTACTCACAACTTGTCTACCTCTTCACCGCGTTGAAA